CCCAACCGGTTTCGGCAGTATTTTTTTTCTTATTGTGACATATTTATTATGACACTTTGGAAAAAAACTTTGAACTTTAAGCAATGAACTGTTTGAAGGTAATTATTTTTCCTTCTAATTATTCTACCAGAGAGTCTATAAACAAAAGACTAGTTTCCAAAGAGGAGTACTATAGAAGTGTTATATACAAAAAGATGGTTATATTTGATACAGTATCTAGAAATACGATAGAGAGAACGGGATATTTGCTCTGACTGAGAACACAGGTTTTCTCCAACTTTCTGCAAGCCCCAGCCTAGATTAACATCGCCAATGTAGAGTGGGCACAGCACCATTTTTACTGAATAAAAAAGATGATGAAAAGAAAGAATCAAATATTAAAGAACTATAGGAACTTTTTTTTTATACAAAGTTGAGTAGTGAACATAAGTCATCAAATTTATTTCAAGTTCCTTTCTTATAAAATGCACTGTGTTTAAATGATGTAAACCAGATCTGAGTTTCTCACAGAAACCACTTAGTAATTATATATCTTGACTAATGGTCTGATTTCCAACCTTTGTTCAAATGACAAAAAACAAAATTTATCATAAACCTATATACAGTATTCTATTTTAAAACTTTTACAATGTATATAAAACCACGTATCCTATATAGCAACTTAACAAATAAATATAATTTGAGAGACTTGCAATAGAGAAAGGAGTGTTGAGAAAAGCTATGGGGCCCTAAAATTCAGACGGAGATCACTAAATGAGAGCTGCTACTAAGTTTAGAGTATATGAAATACCAACAGTACAAGGATGGGGATGCCATCTAAAACCTAGACTTGTGAGGCCAGTATTTTATAAGCCACAGAGGCCAGAAAGCAGAACAGAGTTCGAGTTCATACACTGTTGCTGAACTGTTATACATAACACATCACACACAGACAAATGCCTCTCACTGAAGGACTGTCTAACACAAAAAAGTTGGGAGCACCGTCTCCTCTGAAGCCCTGATTATGTCACTTAAAAAGTAAATGAAATTGCTCTTTCAAAATCCTCTGTTTTGGCTTTCAGTAAAGATGATGCTCTCTAATCATATTTAAAGTAGCCTGGAATAATTTTGGTTCTTGTCTGGAAATCACTTTTTTTTCCATTAAAATTTTGTAGACAATTTAAATTTACATATCTATGCACACATGACCAAGTAATAATTTATTTTATTTTCCCTACTTGAACTAAACGTTGACCCCTGCTCAAGCCTACCTTCAGCTCACTGAACGTTTTAATTTAAAAAATAACATCCTTTGTTTTATCTGTACCCATAAAGTTATAATTAATATTTAATTTTGTCATACAATTAGGACTTCACATTGTATAAAATGCTTGTTAATTGGTTTAGGTCTGAAATCTGTTTCTCCAATCAATTTGTAGCTCCTTAAAGGGGATGCATCATCTCTTACTCCTTTTTATTTTTGTATTCCTGTCATTGACTAGCAAGAGTAGGCAAATAGGAAGGGTTCAATAAATACTTCTTGTATAAGTGACTGGCAGGTACTTTTTTTTTTTTTTTTTTTTTTTTTGCATTACTATGATCTTTTATTTTTTGGCAGGTGAATTTTTATACATTAGTTTTCTTCAAATGTTAAAGTGTCTATATTATTTGCAATTGCCAGGTATAGCACATTTCCTTATGTTAGTCAGCGTTGAAGGCAACTCTACAGCTACCTTCACTGTTGTAGTAATCTAAACCCACAAAATCTTTCCTCAAAGCTACCACATACTTGCTGATCTAATCATGAGAGCACATTAGAAATTTGCCTACTTTCTAACTGGTAATTTAAAGTAACAACTACATTCTTGATATTTTAAAAGTTTTGCTTAAAGCATACAATTCAGATAAAGAAGGACATATATGAAGAATAAATTAGAAATACATATAGAAAAATCATTAATGAAACTCAGTATCAGCTCTTTGGACACATGAACACATCATCTCTAACAGAAAAAGTTCAAATAAACTCATTCTATATTTACTTTGTGTCTTGGGTTCTAGAAGCTGAAAAAATCTTTACAATGTTTTATAATATCTACTTGAGTAATTAAAACAAGATTTTAAGTCAGAGGGCAAGGACAATATCTCTTTTTTCTTCTAGTGGCCGATAGTGTCAGGTACACAGCAGTTGAGAATTACTGAATAAATGAGTAAAGAAAATTGACCAGATCACCATTTTTTAAAATGTATTCTATATTATTGCTCTCTACATATTTTATTGTATTCAAACACATTAGACTTTTGTATAATTGCCACAAAAATAAAAAAATGTGGCCAAAAGATGAGGGCGAACAGTTTTGTCAAGCCTTAGGGCATCAAGTATAGTATTTAGTTTGACAAATTAAGTGATTCCCAGAAGAGATATTATAAAAACACTTTATTTTTTAAAAAATATTTTAATTGATTTTTTTAGAGAGAGAGAGAAAAGGAGAGGGAGAGAATATAGAAACATTGATGGGATGCCTCCTGCACAACCCCTATTGGGGATCGAGCATATGCCCCGATCAGGAATTGAACCAGCAACCAACCTTTTGGTGCATGGGATGATGCTCAATCCACTGAGCCATGTCGGCTGGGTAAAAATAACTTATTTCTAAGATCATACAAATGACCCAGTATGGTACAATTCTAAGTTTAAAAAAAGCAAATTAAACAAAAATCTGAAGGTTCCCTTTGAACACTGTTGACTGAAAACTAAATCTAAAACTTTTATAAATAATGATCAATTTAAAATAAACTAAATTATTAATATATTTTAGAATCTTTCACATCATCCCTTATGTTTTAACCAAGACTACTATCTAAAAAATATCTTTTACAGGCAGAGACCAGTTTGGCTCAATGGATAAGAGCGTCAGCTTCAAGAGCGTCAGCTTGGAGAGAAGGGTCCTGGGTTCAATTCTGCTCAAGGGCATGTACCTGGGTTGCGGGCACATCCCCAGTAGGAGGTGTGCAAGAGGCAGCTGATCAATGTTTCTCTCTCATCAATGTTTCTAACTCTCTTCCTTCCTCTCTGTACAAAATCAATAAAATATATTTTAAAAAATATCTTTTTCATAGTTTGAACTAGAAATATTTTACTATCTTCAAAGAAATGTAATAACTGAAATAAAAATAATAATTTTGATTAAAAAATAATGGTAAATAATGAAATTTAGAAGTCTTTGAAATAGGAAAAGGATTGTAAATATTATTCACTTACGCACTAAATTTATGTCAGCATTTATAATTCAGTGACTTATAATGTACTATAATAAACCAAATCATAAAATTGTATCCTAAAAGTCAGCATCATTGTTTCTAAATTTTGTCTCTTACAAAAGAAACCTAAACGAATGCTAGTTTCTCATGTTTTTCAGCATCTTTAGATAAATGGAAATTGAAGTGAAGGTAAAGAGAGCTGAATGATTCAAATAAAAAAAATGATTCTGAATTAAAAAAAATGAACTGGGAGATACTATAGGGAATTTCTCATTCTAAATTTTTATTTATAGAAAATTATTAAAATCAGATTTCTCAGATTTGGTGTTAAATAAAAACAAGATAGTTTCAGTTATGGGATAAGTAAAAGAATAACCCTGACACACAAAGCTAAAATCTACATAATTAAAAGGAAAGAAAGATAGTGCTCTTAACTTAATTGATATTGTGAATATTACATGTCCTCATTTATTAGATCCCATTTTATTCAAAAGCTGTCTCATCCCACCAAAACCCAATTCACTTCATTTAAAAAATTCATTTTTTAAACATAAAATTTCAATGATTCAGGAAATACATGGATAATAATATATAACTATATATCCACTACCTTGACTTAACAAGTGTTTACATTTTGTCATGTTTGTTTCAGATCTTTTCTTTTTTTTTGTTAATATATTTTTTATTGATTTCAGACAGAAAGGGAGAGGGAGAGAGAGATAGAAACATCAATGATGAGAGAGAATCATTGATCGACTATCTTGTGACCTCCTGGTTCATAGGTCGATGTTCAACCACTGAGCCATGCCAGCCGGGTGATATCTTTTTTGTTTTTTAAAGAAAAGTTATACATACAACTGAAGCTTCCTTATTGTCTTCCCAGAGTCACACTCTCTTTTCTCATGGACTATAGAAGTGGTCAATTTTTAAAAAAAACATGTGCACCCTTCTTATACTTTTACTACCTATTTGTGTTTTTAGAAATAATTATCATAATGTTTTATATGTTAAAATTTACATAAATTATTCATACTTTGTCATTTTGTAGTTTCCATTTTTATTCAACATTTCTTTTGAAATCTAGGATATAAATTAAGTTTATTTTACATTTTCTAAAGTGTTTTATTGTAAAGATATACCATTCTGCTATTGATGGATGATTAGGTTGTTTCTAACCAACACAGCGTGCACATACTTGTACCTGCCTCCTTGCAGATATGAAATAGTCTTTCCTATCCTGCTTCAATGAAGATGTTTGTTTAAGCTGATGATGTGGCTCCCCCGCCCCCCTCTCCCCCCCTTATTTTTAACTGAAGCACAGGCAATTGATAAAAAACAAACCCAGAATGCTATTCATTAATCCAGAATCATCAGTGTCTTACTATCTACCTTTGCATAATTTTTTATTTCTTTGTTAAATGCCTGAAAAGAGAATACCAGAAAATATGAAACCTAAGCCTTTTTTTACTTGGAAATGGTACTTCTATTGAGGATCATGTAAGTCATTTATTTGTATATATAGAGGTTCTGTTTAGAATTCTGTGATGAATCTACCTTAGGAAAATAAAATGAAGAAGATATGTATGTATCAGCATTTGAATGCTGTTTTTTGCAGAAGCAATGTTATGGTTGAAAAGAATCTTGCCAATATTCTCCCCTGTTCCTGACTACCCAAGTTATGATAGAATACTGACTAATTTAGGAAAACCGTGCAACCGGATTTCTCATTTCTTTAAGGAATAAGCCAGCAGTGCAATTACCTTTGATTCTTTTTCTTTTGGTATTCCTGATTTTACTTTATCAAGTGGCTGTTTAAGGGTCAAATTATTCTTCCTTGCTTCACTGTCTTCAAGCAGGGGCATACAGCAATAACTGTTATCTGTAAAACAAAACCCTCTTGGACATAAGTAGGAAACTCTTGTTTTTAATAGTACCTGAAAATGTAAACAGAATACAAATCCAAACCGCTAATTTTAAAGAGTAAAGACTTTGACAATTTAGATTTGCTGATTTTGATTTTGGCATATTTTCTTTCTCTCTCTCTCTCTCTCTCTCTCTCTCTATATATATATATATATATATATATATATATATATTTTTTTTTTTTTTTTCATTTTTTTCATTTTCATTTCCACTAAACATACAAAATCCTTATTCTACTTAATCAATAGCGTGAAAAATATGTAGAATTTATATAAGTTGTATTTTCAGGTATGCATTTCTTGTTTAAGATACTCATTTGTATAAGTATTCCATGCTTATTGCAGGAAAATTACAAAATACGGACATGCCAAAAATAAAAAAATAAAAGCTGCCGATAATTTTTTTAAATATATATATTTAATATATTTTATTGAGTTTTACAGATAGGAAGAGAGAGGGATAGAGAATTAGAAACATTGATGAGAAAGAATCATCAATCAGCTGCCTCTTGCACAGCCCCTACTGGGGATGTGCCTGCAACCAAGATACATGCCCTTGACCGGAATCAAACCTGGGACCTTTCAGTCTGCAGACCGACGCTCTATCCACTGAGCCAAACTGATTTCAGCAGCTGTCGATAATTTTTATTATCTGAGAATTATTCCTGGTTTATATTTTAGAAGATTTTCATATATATATAAATTCATGTGAGAATTTTTTTGTGGCATAAATAAAATATTTTTTTATCTTGTTTTGCTCATTTTGCTATATATCTTAAGTACATGTCATGTTAATAAGTTGATCTATTATCATCACTTTTCTTGACTACATAGCTGTTCCTTACATGGATGACTGTAATTTAACTGTTGGACATTTCTTTATTTCTAGTTTTTCATTATTAGAAATTCTATCATGAGGATCCTTATATACAGATTTTTAAGAATTTGAACAAGTATCATCTTATAATATATTCTTAGACCTTAAAAAGCTTTTGCTACTAATTGGCAAATTGTCCTCTTGGAAGTTTTATCAACTTAAGAGTTCCACCATATAGGACACAAGAATACCCATTTCCCCATTGATTTAAAGTGTTCACTTCTTAAATAAACATATGTAAATCAGAGGAACAAAATAGAAAAACGTGACTTCCACCTTTTTCTAAAAGTGGTTCAAGAAACACACAAAAAATTAGCATGAGCATACCTTCACTGGAATTCACAAGAAGTAACTGTGATTTTAGCTTGTCAATAATAGTTTGTTGACGGGACAGCTGTTCCTGTTGCTCACGTATTCTCTGCTCATAGTTTTCAGTCTGCTGACATAAAAACCAGTTAGCCTGATATTTACTGACAGATATATACATATATTTACTGTCTATTAATAATTATATATAGATATGAGTTGCCCATATTGCTATTGCCCATATTGTGAATTTATTTATGAGCTAAAAATTGGCTCCAGCAATGTACTTATAATCATTACAAACATCTGTGATTTGAAACACTTTACAATTTAAAATAACCTTAAAGAAAATTTCAAATAAGAGTTCAACAGATGGTTTCTAGCCTTTCAGTTAGGATAAAATTATAATTTACAATTTTATCCTAATGATAACAAAGAAAGGCATGAATAAAATGATGTTATATTAAAGTTTTCTATAAAATACCCACTAACTTAAAAAAGGTAAGATTTTATGTCTTTTTAGTAATCACACTTTTTAAAAAAATATATATTTTATTGACTTTTCACAGAGAGGAAGAGAGAGGGACAGAGAGTTAGAAACATCGATGAGAGAGAATCATCGATCAGCTGCCTCTTGCACACCCTCCTCCGGGGATGTGCCCGCAACCAAGGTAAATGCCCCCAACTGGAATCGAACCTGGGACCCCACAGTCCGCAGGCCGATGCTCTATCCACTGAGCCAAACCAGTCTCAGCAGTAATCACACTTTTGAACTTATTCTTAGGGACGAAATAAAAAGAAAGTGATTATAACTAAAACATTATGAAAACTAAAGGAACACATAAAAATTACAAAATCCCATTGATCACAAACTTCCTTTTTAAAAGTTTTAAGAACTCAAGAACACAGCTAATTTTTAGTGGATATCTTAAATACCTCAATTTCCCTTGTATTTTTAATCCATCTCTTTGCTATCTTATCTAATAAAACAGTAATATGCAAATTAACCCTTCCTACACTATACCACAAGACACGCCTGCCAGCTAATCAGAGCGAGTATGCAAATTAACCCCAACCAAGATGGCCGTGGCCAGAGAACAGGAGGGAGGCTTGGGTTTCCCAGGCAATGGAAGAAGCTGCCTGCCCTAGCCAGCCTAAGCCTCCACTCAAGGTTACAAAGTTTCAACTGTAGAAGGTAAATAAATTCCAGATACCAGGGCCTCTGCTTGGGTCCCCAGGGGGTGTGGCCAGCCTGCAAACCACCACAGCCCCACACCCAGGCCACCCCACGCCCCAAGGGAACCCCCACCCTTATTCAGGACACCCTTCAGGACAAACCAGCCAGCCTCCCACTGGTGCACCAGGCCTCTATCCTATCTAAGTAAGGATAATAAAAGAGTAATATGCAGATTGACCATCACTCCAACACACAAGATCAAGATAGCTGCCCCCATGTGGTCAAAGATCCTGCCCCCATGTGGACATAAGATGGCCACCACAAGATGGCCAGCTGGGGAGGGAAGTTGGGAGGGACCAGGCTGGCAAGGGAAGGCAGTTGTGGGTGATCAGGCAAGCAAGGGAGGGCAGTTGGGAGGCACCAGGCCTGTAAGGGAGGGCAGTTGGGGGTGGTCAACTCTACAGGGGAGGGCAGTTAGGTGTGACCAGGCCAAGAGAGGAGGGAAGTTGGGGGCAAAGAGGCTGGCAGGGGAGCAGTTAGACATCAATCAGGCTGGCAGGCAGAAGTGGTTAGGGGCAATCAGGAAGACAGGCAGCAGAGGAGTTGGGAGCCAGCAGTCCTAGATTGTGAGAGGGATGTCCAAGATTGGAGAGGGTGCAGTTTGGGCTGAGGTACAACACCCCACCCCCCATGCACAAATTTTGTGCACTGGGCTTCTAGTCATATTATAATGGCTCTGAGAATTAAGCAATGAAAGAAGAAACAATTTGCAGATTCAGATACTGTAAACCTTCAAGCAAATTTAAAGATGTTGCATATCCATTACCAAATTAGTACAAAGTCTTAAAAATATATCACATAAAATTAATAGAGAAATTTTTTAAAAAAATATATCACAAAAAATTAATAAAGAAAATTTTTAAAAAGTTTTTTTTTTTAGGGGGAGGGGAAAGAACAAAATGAGGAGGGGATGGGAGGAAAGAGGAGAGGTGCAGAAGGGAGGGATAAGGAGGGGAGTAATAGAGAATTTTTTTTTTTTTTTTTTTTTTTTTACCAATTTCTATCACCAGAGGAACAAATCAATGACTAAATTATAAATTCCTTGAAATGTGAGATGGGGTCCTAATAATCTCATAATGTCCCTTCAACAGATATTAAATATTTGATTTTTAGCTGATTCTTAACCAAAGTTCAAAATCAGTAAAGCTCTATTATTTTCAGACACTAATAAGTATAAAGTTCCTTATAAATTATACAGTTATTCCTAAATTCCCAAAATATGTTAGCTTAAGAAATTAAAGCAAAAAACCCCAAAATTTTCCAAGGGAAAATTCTATAATAACTGACAGAACTGACAAATAAACCAAGTGATGTGCATGCTGCCTGAGAGTAGTCTTATATAAATTGATACTTCCATAGAGCTCTGCAAGGTAACGTATACAGAGGACGAATTCAGTACATACTTATTGAAAAAAAAAATTAAGGAAATAATCCAAGTTTAAAAAATCCAAGTAAATTTCATTATAAATAGAAGAACCAGTCTTGTGAGTCCACGTGGACCATATATCCTCTGAGGATCTGTACTGAACCACAGATACCAAAATTCAGTCTGAGGCCAGGCTTCCTAGGACAAGGCATCTTATTCCTACACTAGAGGTCCAGTGCACTGATTCATGCACCGGTGGGGTCCCTTGGCCTGGCAGCCTGACCTGCAGGGATTGGGCAGAAACCGGCTCTCCAATATCCCCCAAGGGGTTATGGATTGCAGACCAGACCAAGGGACCACACCGGTGCACCATCGGGACTGCAGGAGGGCTCCAGGGTGTGTCCGGCCCATCTTGCTCAGTCCTGATCAGGGCCAGCTGGGGAGGAACCGCAGGAGGTTGGCTGGCCAGGGGGAAACCGCAGGTGGGCTCCAGGGCATGTCCAGCCCATCTCACCCAGTCCTGATCAGCAGGACCCCAGCAGCTAGCTAACCTACCAGTTGGAGTGTCTGCCCCCAGTGATCAGTGCGCATCATAGAGACTGGTCAACTAGTGACTGGTCGGACACTTAGCATATTAGGCATTTATATATAATAAATGCCTAATATGCTAATTCTGTAATACCTTAAATTTACCTGGGCTACACACAGCCACCAAGGCTGAGGAATTGGAGAACAAGTTGATGTTAGTTTTCTTTATTTATTTCTGTGTATTTAGAACTTTCTCCAAAGAACTCAAAGCTCATCATAAACATTGACCAATATTTACCCATTCTTTTATTATATTTTGATAGGTATGTACATTCTATCCAGATATTAAATAACCAGTACAAAAACTTACCAAGTTAGAGACAGGCCCAACCCATTCTCTATTATTTATATTCCTCATCTTAATGAAAAACCAATTGACCTGTATTTTTCTTTGGAACCAACTCAGAAAGCCTCTGCCAGGTAATTTTCATCTTCTAGACTCTGGCTTAAAAACCTACTTTAGTACATCTGAACATAACTTATTATAATAAATAAATAATGTTGAAAATGGATTCATTAGCTTAGGTAAATTAACAGATCAACAACTACTTCAAAATGAAGTTTTGAATTGTTTCTTAAGCTACTTAATAAAGTACTTTATAAATGCAAGCAAATCACGTAATAATTTAAAAACTAAAACTTTCTAGTATAGCAGGGATACAGAATAGCAATGGCTCACTGCTCTTTCCACATACTTACATTATAGAAATTATAGTATTCTAGTCTAATTGTCCATATACCCAATTTCCCTTTAAATTATGACTCCTCAAGGGCAAAGACTATTTAGTCCTGATATCTCCACAGTATAGCAAAGTGTCTGGCACATACAGAGACGCTCAGTAAACATTACTTGAACAAATAAACAACTTAAGCAGTTAAAGAAGTATCAGAGAAATAGATATGCTTTCACAAGTGACCTCAAGGAAAGGACAACAGGCATTGCTTATATTTCTGTAAGGGAAACAGGAACAATGGAGACAAGGTCAGTAGGTGAATAAGACAAAAGGAAGTTAAGTTTGAGAAAATGGATGCAAATGATAGGCAATGTCTGAAGATTTTTCTTTTTTAAAAAAGGGGAAGCTTATACCATCAGGAAAAAACCCTACTAATTTGAGAAGAAAAAATACACAATATTCAGGAAATAGTAAAACACAGACACACACACACAAACTGGCCACAAGGCTGTGAGAGGGAAACTCCAGAGAATATTATGTCAAGTTGCAAAATAATAATAGAATCCAGTTTATTTGCTATGCTTGGAAACAGAGAGAAAAAAAAAAAAAGGTGTTTTTTAAATTAAATGCTTTTGTGCAATGAACAGATCTGAATGAAATTATAACCTGAAAAGTCCTTTTAAAAGGTTAGATAATTATTGCACTGTCACAGTATTTAAAAAGAAAACCAATTACAAAGCAAGTGCATTCCACCACTACCAAAGACCGCATAAAACAGAAAAATCACTAACAACGGCATTGAAAATGTACAACAGCAATGTCTTGTCAACACTTCTGTACAGAGCACAGACATGACAGCTAAAACAGACAGAAGAGAAGATGCTTTTGACAGCCAGTGTGTGTGAATGATTCTTTGAGTCAGATGGCAGCAACAAGTTACCAACTAAGAGATCTGCATGACAACTAACCATCCATCTGTATCAAATACCATCTGGCCAAGATGACTCTGGCTTCTGTGTATTTGACACTCCTTCCAATTCTAAAGACTAGCAAAACAAGTGGTCTACCAGCATCTAAAGAGGCAAAACAGGTTCTTAGGTACTTGTATTATAATGCACTTTGTATTCTTTTTTAGTGTTCAAAAAGTTAAAACAATGGTGATCACACATAGTACATATCTTAAATTTATTAAAAATGGCTGGCCATACAAACTCTCAACTATCAAATCAAAAGCTTACCTTAAGAAATGTCCCTTTATCTAGGCA